AGGCATCTGCGACACCAGTGTTAAGGTGTTAATCACGTAAGCAAGCGGCGATGCAAGACATGACATTAGTGAAGGTACTATAAACCTTGTCTTCTATTAAATGGCTTTGCACTGTCTAGCAATTTGATATCCAAGCAGCTCTCTATATCGAGCATCCTCCACTCTTGAGCAGTACAAAGCCAGGGGATTTCGTCTTTTCCAATACATTATCATTATCACACCCAAGAGTGAAGCAAGAACCACCATTTCAAAGTTTTTGATGAAACGTAATGGGCTTTCTACTCATTCAATCCGTAGGTGGTAACCATTTTCTCAATTTAATCGAGTGTTGTTTCCTCTTCTGGCAAGACAATTCAATAACAGTATAACCGTCATAGTTGGTTGCTCACTGTTTAATGTCAGAAAAAGGACTTCGTGATGGAGCATATCGCGTCCTCAGGACTCCGCCTCAATGCTTGAGAGGGAGGTTGTGGGATCGCCACACCTTCACCAGAGAGTCCACTAGGTGGTCCGTCATTGCGTCTGTGTGGAAGGGGGATGGTGCAAGACGTAGGCGTTCAGTGCCCTTGGCCACTGTGGGGTAGTTTATGGACTGCAGGTAGATCTGGTGATTGAATAGCAATGCCTCTGAGATGCTGGTACACACCTTGGCATTGCCCACCTGGAAGTAGAGTATTCTTTATGAGACGCACTTCAAAAATTTGATGCGATCCATTACTGAGTTGGTGGCAGCACACTAGTGGTGCCACATCTTGGTTACTCTTATATACATGGCAACCGTACGGCCCGGGAAGCATTTAAGATCATTGGCCTGTCAACTATGCCTTGACTCTTAAGGAAAAAATGTACTGCAATGACTTCCACAAACTGCGCGCAGCCAGTGTTGCGCTGTGGTGTCTGCCTTCCATTTGAAGGTTAATGCACTTGACGGCCACGAACAGTCGGCCGATTTTCCCACAACCATTGTGTGCCAGGGAAATTCTTTAAATGACTAATGGTAATGTCACTAAATGTTGCTGCGATGGGTGCCGCATACACCGCTCTTTTCAATTGCGGATTCTCGACCAGGACGAGACACTTTTATGCTTTCACATTCACCTAACATGCGTCGGTCACGATTGTACACACATTCTACACTGGACCCACAAAAACCACACTGGCTTTTTACGAAAGTCGGCTTCGATCATATTCCAATACTACTGAGGGTTGATTGTAGTGAGAGCTACCAACTTTAGGGGCCGAAAAATGATTTTGAATCAAAAGTATCGCGTGTCCCACTGGGAAAAGCACTTAACGGATACATTTGAATAAGTTTTCGGGTTTAAAGCTACTGTTACAACTCATAGCAATTGTAGCTATTCACAATTGAAGCACCGGAAACGGTCCTACTGCATCAGCATACCACAGCTTCCGCCACAGGCCAACCAAAAGACCGTTAGACACGGATGCCGAAGAAGTAGAAATCCAAAAATGAGCACTCCAACTAAGCAGTGTCGAAAAATTGTCAAGTTAGAAATCCAGTTTTACAACATCAGAGCTGGCAAATCTTCTCTTAATGAGTCCTGTGAAATAATTGCTCGGTAAACGGATCATCCTAGAGCTGAACTGCTCGAATGCAGCTAGCGGGTAGGGGTGCACCATATCCCAGAAAAGAGGATGGCCAAGGCGGTCTTAAACTTCCCCAACTCAAGTCCTTAAAATTGTAACAAAAACAGTAGTGATTGAGTCGTAAACACAGAGGCAGCGTGCCTGCAAAACTGCCACTTAAAAAACTTCACAATATCTCTAACAGTTTGTGAAAATAAAGTCATCCCCGATACATGAGTTCTTTGTGGAATAGTTCAACCGACAAGCGTCTCCACTGCCTCACTTTGCATCCTTGCCCAAGAAATTCTTCAATTTAAGAACCAAGAATCCCACTAATCAACACCTCCCAACGAAATTGTTACATTTTAAACGCCAATGGCTAAAAGTGCTAATGACAACGCCTATTAGGAACCTGGTAATTGAAGAAATTTGTCCTGTGGAAGGAAGCAAGATACAATGGACTGCCACATTTGTAACGAAGACAGTCCCACAGTGGTAGTGACAAATACGGATCCCTCAAAAGTAACGAATGTAGGACACGATCCTGTTTACACAAGGGAGGAGGTATCTGGTAGATCACCAAATAGACTCGGTCACGAGTCAAAACGCAGGAGTGCCCAGCCTGGAGACTCTACGAACCAGCGAAAGGGAGGTAAACACGAAGCGTGGTAACAAAAGTCAAAACACTTGTAGCAAGGAGCCCTCAAGACGGTAGAAATTCAATTATAATTCCACATGCATTAACACTGATGAACCTGTCATGAGGGAAGTGTAAACATCTACCTACTGATTCGAGGAGTTGATCGTTCCCAAGTCAAGCAATCTGGTAGAAGTATACTTCAATTGAAATCTATCTGTGCACCAAGCCACGGAATTCGGAAACAAATCAACAACAAAGCACCAAACAGGCCAGAAATTCAATTCATTGTAACTGTGCATGCACAATAATGAGGCAAAAAACCCTCACCAAGTGGTAGCAGTATCAACCGAATTGCAGCTCTATGTACCCAGCACCTGCAAACTTGCTGTGAACAAACTCCACCAGGCAGCTGATAGTTGGGGAAACAAAACCTCCAAAAGAGAACAGTACAGGAGCATTTTAGCTGGTGAATGTGGGGGTGCCATTCAAGAGATG